TCCAGAACTAGGCAAAGAGTTCTTAATAATTAACATCACAAGCATAATTAATAAAAGGAAAACTTGACAAATTGGACTTTATCAAAATTAAAAACTGTTGATCTGTGAAAGACTGTTAAGATAAAAAAGACAAGCTATACATTATTAGAAGAAAATATTTGCAATTCAATTCACATATCTGACAAAGGACTTTTATCTAAAATATATAAAAAACTCATAAAACTCAGCAGACAAAAAGATAATGGGGAAAACACATAAAGAGATAGTTCACTGAGGAAAATTTGTAGATGGCAAGTAAGTACATATAAAGGTAGCCAATATATTAGCCATTGAGGAAATACAAAATAAAGCCACAATAAAATATTGCCACACACTATCAGAATGATTTTTTGTTTTGTTTTTGTTTGTTTGTTTGTTTGTTTTAGTGACATCACCACATGCTGGTGAAGATGTGCAGAAACTGGATCACTCTTACATTGCTTGTGGGTATATAAAATGGTACAACCACACTGGAAAACAGTTGTCGAAGCCTTTAAAAACTAAATATGCAACTACCATATAACGCATCAATTCCTCTCCTGGACATTTATTCCACAGAAATGAAAATGTGTTTATACAAAAACCTTAAAGCGAATGTTTATAGCAGCTTTATTCATAGAAGCCAAAACATGGAAACAGCTCAGAAGTCCTCCAATGGGTGAATGGTGAAACTAACTGTGCTATATCTGCATAATGATTATTACTCTCTAATAAAAAGGAGAAGACTACAGATGCACATGGCAACCTAAATGAATCTCCAGAGAATTACACTGAGTGAAAAAAAAGCCAATCCCAAAAGTTGCATCCAGTGTGATTCTATTTATTCGACATAGCTGAAATTACAAAATTCTAGAGATAGAAAACAGAATAACCATTGCCCAGAGTTAAGGGAGTGGTGAGACAGGAGAGAAGTGGGTGTGGCTATGTAAGGGCAAACAGGAGGGAACCTTGACTGATGAAAATACTCTGTATCTAAACTATATCAATGTCAATATCTTGTTATTTCTCACAAGATGTTGTAAAATACAACTTCATTGTAAGATACGCACGCATCTACACTAATCTCAGAGTAAAAGGTTTAATTTTTTTAAGTCAAACTTAGGCTTGTTGGTCATAACTGGTCTTAGAAATGTACAGGCTCAGTTCTACCACACACTGTTGGGGGAAGATGTGCCTCTGTAAGCTTACTTGGCACATGAAACAGATGTTCCACCATCTGTACAGAGACCAGCCTTCAGGCTGCCTACACTTAGGTGTTTCTTCCAGACCCAGAAGGTTCTAACTCAAGACTACATTTTGATCTTTCACTCACCCTAAATGTACGTACAAATTCTAAGTCATGTATACATACATACAAGTGCTAAATAATCATAATTCATATTTTACACTCAAAGTTTTAAATCAGGAGTATGACGCTGCCAAACACTGAGTGACTATAGCAGCACATATGCCACAACAGATGGCTTACATGTCATGGTTTTTACCCCCAAGTTCTTCTGCCTAGTAAACCTATTAGTAAGCATGTCTCAAAGAAGTATTATGGAATCAAGACAAAAAGAAAGCAGGTTTTGTTGGCTAATGAGATCACAAAGAATTAAGAAATAGCATTCCAAAAAGGTACATCTGAGGTCCAGTATTATAGCATCTAGATCCAAGGATTAAGAGTTCTTTCTGGACATTCTGTTGGTTTGGTTTGGTGGTTTGGTTTGGCTGGGTTTGGTTTGGTTTGGTTTGGTTTGGTCTGGTCTGGTCTGGTCTGGTCTGGTCTGGTTTGGTTTGGTTTGGTTTGGTTTGGTTTGGTTTGATGAGGGATAAAGAAGGCCACAAATGCTTTTGAGAATCCAGTGAAAGTTCTGGACCCACTTCCATCCTCCAAAAAATACACACATACACATTTTTCAATTGATCAAAACTATATAATCACTGCTGGAACCATTTTCTCTGACCTCTTTTAGAGAAATGCTCATTCAAGATGTGATAATATCCAAATGATCAGATAACAAATATCAAACACATCTCAAAAATTCTTGAGCTGGTGATAGGCATATTTGTTACCAGGATCTTTGGAGACTGTTATTAATTATAAACATCTCCATGCTATTGCATTGTTTTCTTCCCATATTCAAAACGCTGATCTTCCTTACCTGTTCAGATCCACTGAACATGTAGACTTAGTAAATGATGTCTTGTCAATACCATGCATTAATCAGCTATTGCCACAATAATGCTGTATAATCAGCCATCTCAAAACTGGGTGTCTTACAACAACTAGCATTTCCCAAGACCAGATCTGTATCTGGGCTGACCTTGGCTGGGCTCAGCCAGGTAGTTCAGCTTTAAGCTGAACATCAGGTAGACTTGGCATGGCTTGGATTTGGGGATGATCCAAGTGTCTCTTGTATCCTTGGACCAAAGGCTGCTTAGAGAAAGTTCTAACAGTAAATGGCAGAGACGTAAAAGGCAAACCAAGCTACGCAGACCCAGTTAAAGCTCCCATTTGCATCGCATCTATTAACATTGCATTGACCAAAGCCGAGTCATATGACTGAACCCAGCATCAACAAAGTGGCCAAAAATGCCCACAGTAGGATAGGAGAGCGGGTGTTTGCTGAGCGCTAATATAATATTTGACAAATCGCAAACAATTTTCTAATATTTCCTAAGGCTCTAGTGATGCCAGATACTCTAGTGAAATTTCACCATACTCAAATGACTAAAACAAGAGATCAAAAAATACAATTACAGCTGAGAACATTTTGTATAACTCAGCTATGTTTTAGAGCAGGGCTTCCTAACCTTGGCACTATTAACATTTAGGAATGCATACTTTGTTTCTGGGAGTAAGGTGGTGGAAGGGCTGGCTTTCTGGTTCGCTGAAGAATAATTAGCCACATTCCTGGCGTCTACCTACTAAACGCCAATAATACTCTCAAGTGATACTAACCAAAAATGTCTTTAGGCACTGCCAGATGATCCCTGGAGGTCAAAATTGTCAGTGTTTGAGAACCACGATTTAAGAAAAATAGTCAACATCCAATATACAATAAATATTGTCAATTGCCAAATAGGAGACATCAGTAATAAAATATATATTTTTGATATCAGTATAAATAAATTTGCATTCAAATAAACTTGATTGGGTATTTTTATTTAGTAAGCATTGGCAAATCCTTCGTAAATCTTTATTAACTACTATGCCAGGTAGGCAGCATTATTTCATGCTACTAATGCTGAAAATGAGCTATAGCTAAGTGAATTGTTCAAAGCCACAAAGATAAAAAGAGTAAAACTCGGATTTGAAATTTGACGTCTTCAACTTAAAATCCGCTTTGAGTAATAACACATACTCTTATAGCATTTATAAAGACTTCTGATTATTATAATCATTTCCACTCTGCTTTATTGGGTATCTCTTTGCTATAAAATTATGTGACAACTGAAGAGTTCATACAAAATAAGCCGACGTTTTGTGTAATATTTTAATTGAGTGTTCTTTATTACTAACATCACAAATGCTAAATGATAAATTTAGAAAGTCTTCAACAACTAAGAATAGTAGTGATATCATATGTACATCATAAAAAGTACTTGTTTTCTCATAAACTAAACTCACGGTCATCATCGTTAAAAGCATAATTTTAAAATGGAAATAGTGCCAAATTACCTTTTTTAGTAGATTTATAGAAAGCATCTCAAAATCAAAACTTTTATCCATGTGATTCTCATTGTTTGGAATATAACCTATAACCTGAGGAGCTGTAAAACTATCTTTGGTGTCTAAATTTTTGCCACAACCCACTTTGAATTCATACATGTCACTTCAAATCCATAAGTGGATTATTGAATAATCCTTCACAATATACTCTCGGTCAGACAACTTCTTACTGCTTCAACAACTCCTTCAACAACAAGATTAGTTGAGGGCACAGTCTTCTTTCTCTTAGACAATTACAGTAAACCTAACTAATCTCCTTCCACCTTTGCCTGCTACAGACTATTCACTGTGCAGCAGCCAGAGTGAGCTTTTGTAAATATAAATCAGGAAGTGTTCATTACACCCCTACTTAAAGCATTCCAATGGGTTCCTGTCACATTTAGAATAAAACTCAAATTCCTTTCCAAAGTTTGCAAGGCCTAATAAGGTGGTGGCCAGTCACATTTCTGCACTCACTCACAGCTTTTTCCCCCTTCATTCAGTGTTCTGCAGCCATTCTGACCCTGCTATTCCTCAGGCACATCAAGCAAACTCCCAACTCAGGGCCTCTGTTCTTGCCATTTCACTGGCCATTCATCTAGTATGCTCTTTCCAAGATCTGTTTTCAGGTTCTGCTCAATATTCTCACCTTACCTTGTTTCCTCTGCAAAGCCTTTTCTTACGAACCTTTGTGAGAAAGCACCTCTCAAGACTCTACCCACCCTCTATTTTGTTCTTTTATAGCACCTCTTACTAACTGACATCATATTGCACATGTTTTCTGCTCTTTTATTTATCAACTGCCTTTCCTATTAAAAGGTAAGCCTTACATAGGCAGGAACTATGTTTTTTTAATTATTCTAACTCCAGGACCTAGAAGCATACCTGGTATGTTGTAGGTCTTCAATAAGTATTTGGCGAGTAAATGATGAATGAAAGCTAACTATTTGCTGAGACTCACAATATTTTGAAATTGAGTTAAGGTTTCCTTAAGTGACTCTACCACTCTACCACTACCATCCCCCACACACCTATAGATTCCAGAACCCTTCCCAAGACTTCTGAGATTCTCCAATGCTATATGTTTCCAGGACATCTCTAGTTCTGACTGCCTGATTTCTTAGTTTATGAATCATCTTGTCATTCTCTCCATTCCATCTTTGGCTCACACACACACACACACAAAAACCTTCTCATATAAAGCAACTTGTGTTTTTGGTAAACTTTACCAAAAACTTATAGACAATCTAAGGTAGGTTGATATAGAAGATGTCACTCATGGGTTCTCCTAAACCCACAGCACGCTCCTGGCCCCCGCTTTACCCCACCCCGACACCTCTCCAGAGTTAAAACAAATTTCTCTTTTCGTCTCACACAGAGCAATTCAGTCTTCTTTTATTGCTTTTGATCTTTCTGTCATCATGATTCAGGGTCTCTCCATTTCAAGAAACTCTTCAAGACATTTTTTCAAAGAAGATTCTTCTTTATAAAACAATTTCTTATGTCAACTGTCAAAATGATAGATCCATTGTTTCTGTGACCATAAGAGACTCTAATATTCCACATGGCCACCAAATATTGCCATCTGAATAAATATTATATCTCACCATGCTTCGTGCTAATATTTTTATATGTCCATATATATACTACACACCCACACATACACACACATGCACATATAGATGTTATTGTGACCCATAAAAGAAAAATAATCAGAAAGCATCACTCAGCTCACATGAACTCACAGTAAGTATTATTAGTCATGGAGTATTTTGTCAAATAATCAGTTCTAAAAGATCAGTTTTAATCAGACAGATATCTATAGGCCTTTCTGATGTTAAAAATAGTTTTCTCATATTTGAAAAGACTTACTTACTGCCTGTACTGTATCTATTTTCTCAAATAGAACCTGAAAATTAAGAATGGAAAGGGACAAAGGTAGCCATCCTTGTAGATTCTTTTCATGCTTGTCTAGTATTTTTACCTGTGAAATTTCTACAGGGATGAAGAAAACATAGGAGCTGTTTGTTTATCTAAATAATATGGGCATATTCTTAATGAACAAAGTTATATGAAGATCAATATTTAGTGTTTCATCTAAAAATAAGAATATGTTTATATTATCATTTGCTTGTGAGACATAAGGTCTTACTTACCTTGCCTATTGCTTGGTAGAACAGGGATACCTATAACTTGAGGAAGCCACAGTCACGGTGGTGGTGGGAGAGCTAATGCTTAATATTTCCCTTTCACCAGGATTGCTCCATCAGGATTGTCACCCAGGCCATCCTTCATTCTTTGCTCCATTTTAATCAGTTGAGGGCCTCTCACTGTTTTGCTGTTGCATCTGCCATGCTGTGTTGGATCTTAGGAAGAGTTGACAGCTATTCCCACATCTTCTAAAATAGTTTCCAGTATCTCCCATGTTCTGAAATATTCAATTGAGATATATCACTCATTACTTGCCAGCAAATTCAATTGTCCAATAAGCATCTTAGATCCCAAGGCCAAGCATGCCACACCAGTAAAATCTCCCCGCCTTCTAGGATGACACAGTATCCCTAATAAGTAAAAGAGGCTAAGACCAATTCTCGATACCTGAATTCAATGGTCTTAAACCTCTGGATTGCAGCTGCAGACACTGACTCTGGTCAACTCCACTCACGGCTTAGGTTCACCCATAAGGAAAAGGGCCACTGACTGGTTGTTCCTTATGACTATACCTGACACTTCTCAGGCTGGCAAATGCAGTTCCCCTGAGCTGTTATCCCCCTATGGATCAGCAGCCTTTCTTTTTCTACCTCAGTTGAACAAAATCTGAGCCCAGCATGCAGGTGGTCAATTAGTCATTTCATATTTTCCTGCAATGTCTTCCAGGACCCTATGCATACCTCTGGCCCAAGTGTGAAGGAATAATCCTCCTGAGGTATGCTTACCAATTAAGGACCTTCAGAAAGAAGACACTAAAACAGGAGTAGAAGTTTCAGGGATTTATTGAGGGAGGTAAAACCTGTGAAATATAAAGGTGTGAGAGAAAGCCTTCAGACCATTATGCAGGCCTGACACCGTGAATGGAGAAGGGAATACAGGAGGATGACAAAGGAAGAGGCTACAACTGTGATGCAAAAAGTCTGAGAAAGTCTCAGCCTCCCCAGTGGGGAGTTCCAATGCAAACAATGGCTGTAGAGGAGTCTTTCAACAAATAGTAAAGCCCAGACCTTAGTCCCTCCCTGGCATGTAGACACTGACTGGAGGCAGCTTGGGAACAGTGTACTCTCAGCTCAGAAGCTGCAGCAGATCTTGAAGGTGCTACAGTAGGCTATCAGTCATTTGCATTCCTTTCAGCAGGTTTTTCAAGTAGAGATGTTGTACTGGCCGGAGCATAGACAGTCAACACCAAGACAAAAGTATGCCAAATTGCAGGGTCTTTATTGCCAGCGGCCATGGAGGACTCGTGTCTCTCCAACCCGTGGCCCCGAAAGGAGGGTGTCAAGACCTTTTATACCCGTAAAACCACCTCGGGAGTGAGGGTGAGGGGCAGGGATGGGGGTGAGGGGCTTCAGACGTTCTGAGGGCTAGTGGATTCTGTAAATCACCTCCTGGGCGGAGATGAGGATGAGGGGTTCTGGACATTCCAGTGGATTCCTGGGCGAAAATGAGGGTGAGGGGCTCCGGACACTCCGAGGGCCAGGGGACTTTTGACATTCTGATTGTTACTTAAGTGGTTCGCAAAAGTCAAGATTAGTATTTGTTTACACATAGTCTGGGTAGGGTGGAAATTACAGTCCTTAATTACTTATTCAGATTTGGGTTATAGAGAGCAGTTTCAACAGAAAGCTGAGGTATGGTTAAGGTATGCTGTTTTATGGGGCTTTTACCATGTCACAGAGATATGTGAGCAATGCACATTCATTGTACATTGGTGCTATAATGCTATAGGCAACATAGCACTCTATAATCTCCACTATGGCCTAATTCCTAAGTGGGCGATAATTGTGCTGATGATTTAATATAGAATCTGTCAGACACCAAGGCCAAGTAGCCAACAAGATACCTCATGCCTCAAAGATCCAGCAAATAAACCTAAATTCTAGGCCTGTCTTAACCAACATAAGCACTTACTTATCTTTTGGCCAGATAGGGGACATCTTAGCCTGGACCAATGCACCACCTGCATATGCATCAGCACCAGTGGGGTGTTAGAACATTCGGTGCCCCATATATGGAAGCAGGAAGAAGGATTGTCTAGAGCTCTCAGCAACCTGGAATCTGTCCTCTGGGCTGATGCTGGACTTTCTGAGCATCTCTGTTGGGAGAAGGTCTCAAGTGTTACTCATGGCTCCCATTCTCTTATTTATATCATAATCATAGTCCATTATCTCCTATAGCAATGCTAGAGACTAGCCTCATGATCTTACAGATTAAAATGATATGAATTCCTGACTGAGAGGGTAATGATGCAAAGCATCCGTCCCTTGTGATAAGAGGTGAGCTGAGATATAAAGTTTAATTCTATTGATTCCCTGTGGGCTGGGAATCAGAAAAGGTAATAACCTCCTGTAGGGCTCCATAATAATTGTCAGCTTTAGGTAATTAATCCTGGAAAGGACTGAGGTAGAACACTTGGTCCTGATGCAGAACAATTAACTATTGTCACATAGCTTCAGCCACAAGATTTGGACCCTAGCCCTGTGATCGTGCCAGGGGAAGGGAGCTATGCAGCCCACCACCCACTGGCTGGAAACCTGATTCTGAAACCTGACAACTGGCCTTTCAGGATTCTTGTCTGCTATCACACAGCATAATGGGGGATTACACAGGCACTAACCTCTAATATCTCTATGAGTTTCCCAATAAGGGTTTTTCCAGATCACCTGCTGTGTTTGTTCTTAGGTCATTCATCCTTGGTTGTTATGCAGCTTCCCTCTGCATATAAATAAACCAGGGTATGGTACACAAGAAATCTACAAAAGTGATAGACCAAGATGGAATAGGAGTAGTGGGTTGATCTGAACAGAGGTAGAAAAATATTTCTCAATGTGTATATCTGATGTTTGAACAATAAGGATACGCTGTTTTTTAAAATGCATAATTAAAAGGAGAAAAGGCTAAATCAATAACTGCTGGGAAACAATTATTAAAATAAATAATTTAAATAAACATCATACCATTTTCTGCTCCAAATTTCTTAGCATGGATTTGAAAATGACATCAACAACCACAAAAATAAAACATACCATGTTCAACAGGACAATCATCCCAACAGTAAAAGAGCATTACAATGGGGAAGGAGTGGTGTGTATGTTTTCTTAAATAACATGTTAGGATGCAATTTTCACTGAATCTAAGAAAGTTTTTAAACTCAGAAAGAAAAATTAACTGAAAGTAAGAAAAATTTCTACTGATTAAGAGTGGCAGAAACCTAAACATCACACAGATGGCTCCCCTGTTGGAGGCTAGGAAGCTGCAATTTACATTCTTCCTCCTAGCTCTTTACAGCCTAGCTAGAGAGACAGGCAACTAACAGGGTAAGTAAAATGCAGCAGGATATACATGAAAAACAATTCCTGATAGACTGTTGATATATATGTGAAAGGGGAAACAAAAAGTATATATAAAAAAGTGACCAAAATTATCTTGTCTACTTCCAGCTAAAGAAAGTTTTCTTAAACAGAGCAACAGAGTAATGATCATAGAGGAAACAGCTAATAAATTGTATAACATTAAAAATAAGAACTTCTGTTCATCAAAAGACACAATTAAAAGAGTGAGAAAGTAAGCCACATGGTGGGAAATTATATTTTTATTACATGTACCTGACAAATCACTCCTACAAATTAATAAGAATAAAAAAGATGCTCCAATAGATAAATGAGCAAAAGACTTTAACTGCATTTACAAAACAGGACAACTATATAACCAATAAATATTTGTAAAGCGCAAAAAGAAAATTAGGACCACAATGAGACACCACTATATAACCACCAGAATGACACAACTGGCAATGTCAATTGTTGACAGGAATGGGAAACAATTACAATCTATACACAGTGCCAGAGAAAGTAAATTAGTAAGATCATTTTGGAAATTTTTGGAATCATATATTAAAGCCAGATGCATGCCTACTCTGCATTTTCCACATATGTACCCAAGAGAAATGAATGTATATTTTCACCAAAAGACAGGAATAACAATGTTCAGGGCACCATTATTTGCAAAAAACAAAATCCAGAAACAACCTAAGTGTCTAACCATAGTAGAATAAAGGGACACATAGTAATCTACTCATACAGTGGAATACTATGCAATCATGAAAATAAAAGAGCTACAGCTATATACAACATAGAAAAATTTCATAGACATCGTATTGAGTAAGAGAAATCAGACATAAAACTATTTGTAGTGCCCGATTCCATTTATATGAAGTTCTAAAACAGACAAAAGTAACTATAATATTAAAAGTCAAGATTGATGATTATCTTTGGGAAAGAGAAATTGTATTGGTTAGAAGAAAGCATTAAGAGGTCTTCTGAGGTCCTAGTTATGTTCAGTTTCTTGGCCTGAGTGTTGATCATATGGGTAGAATCACTTCAGAATGAGTAAGCCATGCACTATGAGTTGTGCACTTTTCTTCATGAATGCTATATTTAAATGAGAAAGTTTTAAAGGAAATAAAGTGTAATGAGTGCTTCGATAGAGTTTACTGAGGAGACACATGGGAGGAAACCCTGACACTGATTTAGATGATTGGGAAAAAGTTCCTGGACAGCTACACTGAATTCTGGAAGACTAAGAGGAGTGAGCTTTGTCAAAGGCAGTAAAGAGTGTTCCAAAACAAAAAGCTGGAGGTGAGGGAGATTGTAGTGCCTTCCAGGAATGGTGGCTATTTCTGGCGGAAACACAGAAGTTTGAGGTTATGAGACAGGAGTGAGAAGAGAATACATGGAAGGGGTAAGGAGGTTGCGATTATGAAAGGCCTCCTAAGCCTTGTTAGGAAGTCTGGATTTGCTCTTTAAGCAATAAAAAGTTGGTGTTAAGTATGGTGAAATATGATTAGGTTTGCATTTAAAGTCATCATTGTAGCTATAATAGAGTATTGAGGATACAGATGAGAGCTTCTGGACAAATCTAAGTTAAAGGAAGTAAAATCAGAGAGATATAAAGAAGTGGAGGCTAATCAGGGCATATTTTACAGTAGGCTTTTGGTATATGATTGACTATGTAGCATATTCCGTATTTTAGCCCTAGGTAGATGGATGGGTCTAGGACAATTTTCATATTTTAGCTTGTGTCATCTTCTGAGAGGAGATCAGAAAAGGACAAACTGTTTGGGTGAAAATATGGGGTTAATGGACCAGCTATTACTGGTACTTCTGTATGTCAACACAACAGTGAGATTCTAACCACCCCAAACAGACTCTTATTTTTTATTGCACTTTTCTAAATCTCTTAGCAACTTTTATAAGTCATTTCATTTCCATCCCTCAATAGGCTCTAATATGGTCATCCAGGCATTATCGTTCACAGACCAAGCTGTCTCCAGCTTGCAGATTAGTGCAGCCATTTAGAGCTGGCAAGCCATGATGCAGGGCAGGGAAGTGTGAAGTTGAAGCTCTACCATTATTTCTTCAGGACTACATTGAGGAACCCCAGGGAAAGCTGCTTTCAACACCACACCTCTCACTTTGTGGCTCTTACCTGCACCACCATAAAGGTCGACCAAAGCAATACATTTCATCATGTTCTAAAATATGAAAGAAGCATGAGAAGGCTTTATTCTTGTTGCATCCGAGAAGCATCTGTAATCTATAGAAAACCCCAAACGAACCACCAGTCATCTTCCTGGACTGACCCAGCCCTTGTCTTCTCTCCTCTCTAGTTGCCTAAGCTAATCTGAGATGATCCTTGCACTTGACTTGTGAAGCTGTGCTAATTTTTATGGCTACTGAGAACCAGTTCATTGATTTTCTGTGAGGGTAGCTGTGTTCAGACAGGTAGGTGGTGTAGCTATTTGTCCAACAGCATTAAAACAAACTGATTGACAGCTTCATCTCCTTGCCATGGACACCCACATGCCAGGTATTGTCAAACACTGGGGACACTCTGACATCTCATGCTTGATGTCTCCCATTAACCCACAGATATACATTAAGGTGATGAATTTCATGTCAACTCATTTATTTATCACCTCTAAGATGAGCTGTTAAAGAACCACAGTGGTCAAATTTCTCATATATTTGCCATGAGCCAAATAGTCAGGAGAACTCCACAAAGACCTGACATTTGAACATTTTCTTTCCAGAGAAGAAAGAGCTAAAAATTGCCATTTCTCCAAGTTCAATACAAAATCAAATTTAAGACTAAACACTTTTCAAATTATAAACAGAAAAAGATATATTAAGTGGGAAACGTTAATATCATTGTACTGTTTATTTTCTGGGTAATGGCTGTTTATTTTCTCTCATTCCATGTACTGTTTATTTTCTCTCATTCCATGAGAATAAGAGAAAGAGGTATAATTATGAGTCATTTCATCCAAAAGAAAATTCAAAACAAATAAGGTTCGAAGGCTTAAAATGGAAAATTTAAATGTCTAAGTGCAGACATCAAAGTCTTTGGAAGCTTACTATCTACGAACACATCCTCCAAAACAAATAATTCAAGGCTTGCCACAAAAATCCATGTTATTTCTTACATTTCTGCTCGTTGTTTAAATAGACATATGGTACATGAGTGAACCTAAGGGAATTGATTATGTATCATCTGTCATCTATAAACTTATAGTAGAAACAAAATTAGAAGCCTAGAAAGGGTTTAATCTGACTCAGCAATTGACAAGTGGATCATTGCACAGTGTATCATTGTAGGAGACTCAAGGCAGGACATGGAAATAGACTGTCACCAAGAAGCCATTGATCAGAGGGTGGATGTACCCCAGGGAGAGGCATTAAATTCCAAAGAGTAATGTAACTATCAACTTTCATTTGAAGATGCCCAAGCACAGAATGTATCTCTACATCACTGTCTAGCTAGAAAGGACCCTGCTTATTATCTAGCCTCATCCTTTCATTTTACAGAGGAAGTATCTGAGGAGTGAGATACTGAGAAATGGAGCCAAGGTCATATAGACCTTCAGGGGGCTGTGCTATGGACAGAACTCAGGGCATCTTGAGTTTGTATTTGTCAATCTTCCTAGCACCTGTGTCTTATGCATTACAGTCACTGACCCCATAAATCTTTATTGAACATCATGTGTGATTAAGGTGCTGTGCTAGATGCCATGAGAATGATTTAACACTGTCCTCATTTGGATCAAATAAATCAACTGGTCTTTACCAACCAGTGTGTGGTCCACTGGGAATTTAACATCACTGAGACCTATTATTCATGGTGTTCCTCTCCAATGATGACACTTCTCTAAATGCACAGACATGTTTAGGGGAGTGCCGTTCCATGACACATATCTGTACCTTCTAAGATACAAAGTGGGCAAAGTTTATCTGCACTAGTACCTCCTATTTGATAAAAACTCAATAGACCAGCTCCCTTTTCATTTGGGGAAACAGAGCTACTTCCAAGCAGGCTTCTTGAGGTCGTGATGTTTTAGAGTGTTTATTGCCAAAGAAATTTTTCTGTCCTTCATATTCATACTTGCCCATATTTATGTAGCAGCATCTCAATCCTTGAGCCATACTGCTTCAGCCTACCTATAAGGAGGACATGAAGAAATGTGTGAAATAAACAAAGGGTAAGACCTGAAAGAGCGCAGTAAGCCTATCACCTTGACATTATCACAGCTATTAAATCCTTCTGTTATACTATTAAATATTTAGAAAATCTTGTGATTACATTGTTAAATATGCTTTCAGTTTTTAGCACTGCCGTCTCCTTGTAAATGCAATTACCTCTGAAAGTGTTAATGCACCAAATTTTTAATTTAGATTATCAGATTTAGCTTCTCCTCGATAGGAAGGAGCAGTCAATTAAGGATGAAGGACACCTGTGCCAG